AGAAAAGCTGTCTTCTTTGACACACACTCAAGGCTTGCCTCCGCGAGCGGTTCAAAAGGAGGACAACGCAGGGCAGCGAGGATGAGAGAGAGTGCTCCTACAGGCCCAACAGGGTGTGTGGGAGGGTGCCAACGTTGGGCACCTCTCAGAAACAAAGAAAAATCCTTGTTGCGACCCACCATTTCCCCACTCACCACCGAATGCCAGCAAGAGATGGCAGCAACATAAACTTTAAGGGTGGATGGAGAGCGACCTTGAGAAAGCCATGTTTGAAGAAAGGTTAAAATAACAGAAATATGACAGTCTACAGAGTCCTCATGTCTTTCCTGACACCAGCGGCTAAAAGCCTTCCACTTATAGGCGTACACCAGTCGCGTGGAAGGAGCCCTGGCATTAGTCATTGTGTGTCCAATGTTCCCATCATACTCAGAGAAGGAAATGCCGGGCCCTGTAGTGGCCAAACCCAGAGTTGGAGGCGACTGGGATTGGGATGCAGGGTCTGACCCACCAGCTGTGACAGAAGATCCTCTCTGTGGGGAAGAGGCATTGGAGAGCTGCAACAGAGCCTGTGTACTCGTGGAAACCAAGTCCTCCCTGGCCATCGACACCATGTCCCTTGGGCGATCTGTTGCTGTCACGGCGCCCCCCAACCCGTTGTGGATATGTCGGTAGAGACAAACTCCCGACGGGATGGCAGCGAACCCAGCGGAACCCCCCTTGCCATGAATGCTGCATCTCACCACTGAGCCTGTGACGCAAAGCATTAAGGGGACACCCGCAGTTTTCTGCGACGGTGCGATGCAAAAGAACGGTGCAGCCTCAGGCTGTTGAGCCACATCTGCAGTGGTCGCAGAGACAGTAGTCCCAGGGGTACTACCGTAGCGGCAGCAGTCAGCTTTCCCGACAGATGGAGATAGAGAATAGGGGGACTGCACGACTGGGCAGAAAGGCAGGTAGCATCTGCAGAATGCCCTAGACACGCTCAGGCGATGGGTTAGCAGTAATTGTGATAGAGTCCATCATGATACCAAGAAACGTGACCTGCTGAGACAGAATCAGGTTGATCTTCTGCCAGTTCACACGAAGACCTAATAGGTCTATGTCATTAGCAAGGTGCGTGTGTCTGCAGCAGCTTGAGTTTGTGTGACGAGCCAGTCGTACAAGTAAGGCAGGATCTTTAATCCCTTGGCCTGCAGAGGACACAAGGCTGCAGCCACATAACCTCTGAACACATGTGGGGACAGAGAAAGGCAGAATGGAAGAACTGGGAACTCAAAATGCTTGCCCTTAAATGCAAAGCAGAGAAACTGCCAATGCTGTGGTGCAATTGGGACATAAAAATATGCGTTCCTGAAGTTGACCAAGGTGAACCAGTCACCAGGGGAGATTGCGTGAAGCACATCTCTGATGCTCAACATGTGGAATGAGATGGTCTTCAAGAAAAAATTCAGACCTCTCAGGTCCAAAATTGGACAGAGTCCCCAGTCTTTTTCGGGACTAAAAAATACTTTGAGTAAAAGCCCACTGGATCCCGCAGGGGGTCGACGGGCAATATAGCACCCTTGGCCAGCAAGGTGTCAATCTCTTGGCTCAGAGCGTGAGCCTTTACCTGGTCATAAATCACTGTCATCCTGACTCGACCAGGAACAGGAGGGCGGCAGAACTGTAGGGTGTAAACCCCTTAAGTGTACACACCACCCAGGGAGTGAGAGCGGCCCAGCAATTGAACTGGTCTGGGATAAAGTGTCCCAACGCCAGCCAGTGATGTCATCTCCGAGCCCCCCTGCCCATAGGGGGGTGGGAGGGTTGCCAAGTGGCCATGGGCAGGTCTTGCAGCAGGCCCTGCAGCAAGCCGTGGCTACCCCAAGCAGGGCGTATTATGGGCAGGATAAGTGCACAATAGAGATGCAGAGGCACTCCAAGCAGGATGTTGCAACGCGAAGCCTAGGCCGACCGCTCCAAGGCTGCAAGCGCAGAGGAGCCAAACAATTCTCCAGAAACCAATGGAAGGCCCATCAGGGTCCTTATACACAATTCCGTCAAAGGAGAGTGAGCCAGCCAAACCTGACATGGTGCCTGAACAAGGGTAGAAAGGACAGTTCCAATTTCCCTCGACAGAAGAGCAAGCCCATGGAGAAATGCGTCCATCATTCCCTGAGTAGGTGCATCGATCGCAACACCCTCTAAAGAAGCTGAGATACCCAGCAATAAATGTGACAGAGAATTACCAAGTCACCCCAAACGAGACCCAAAGTCATAGGCTCTACAGAGCAGATCATCAGTGACACGGCCCTGAGGAAAGCACACCTGGCATTAGCTGTAAAAGCTTCATCTGGCACCACAATGAGGGAAGCTATGGCCGGCTCAACAGAAGGCATAGGCGCACCTTCCATGGCCGCCAGTGCCCTGCCATCAGAGGTCGGCCGTGAAAAGGCCTTAGTGTCCGACCAACAGGCATGGACCTCCTTCACGTATTCAGCAGATGGGGGAACCATAAGAGATGACCTAGCAGTAGGACATCGAAAGAAGGCACTGGAAGCCGCAGGTTGGTCCTTTGGAGCATCCAGCTGCAACTGGGCAAGAGCAGTTCTCAGAGCACCCACCATCAAACCATCCTCCTCCAACTGAGAGCCAGAAGAGACACGCGAGCTGGCTTCTGAGAGAAGTGAGCCGGAGTCAAAATTATCTCGAAAATCAGTGCCAGATGCTGCCAGAGATATAGCATCGTCATCAAAAGCAGAGGGTCCCGAACCAACTCTCTGCCCCTGGTCAGGGTCTCCAGTCAGGCTAGCGTTACCCCTAAGGGATTTGAGCAACGCTTCCATCCTCTCAAGCTCAGAAAAGAGATGGTCCACTTGCCCAGATAGGCCCTGTGAAACCCTGGAGCTCCTCTTGGTCCTCTTCCATGGAGGCCCCATAGCCTCAGAAGCAACATTTTTCACAGGCTGGCTAGTGCCTAGAAGGCCAGCCAAAAGAGCATTACATAGGGACAAGGTAGGACAGAACAATTTCAACTTTCAGGTGATCCGGTCCCAAACAAGCGGGACATAAATCATGCCAGAGGGACCAAACAAGCTCTACAGCACAACCGCCCAACATCTCATGCTCACAGGGCTAGGTCAGGTCGAGCTGAAATCGCCACTCTTGAAATTTAAACCAAGCGAACAGGTCGGGAAACCCGGTCGAGCAGAAAATGCCACCAGGGGTTCCCCAGCAGCAAGGCTGCAAGGAGGACTAGCCAAGCACGGCAGTGAAAGTAAAAAGTAAGCCCGAAAATGGCTGCTAAGCAACGAAATACCGCCAAGCTGAACACAGATGCACAGTAGACTTAAAAACAAAGCCGGAAAACGGCTGCTATCAGAAAATATAGGCAAACCTAAAAGCGGCTGCACAGATAACAAACAAGCCAGAAAAACGGCTGCTATCAGTAGTAGGCAAGCCCAAAATGCCTGTAAGTAAATAAATAAGGCAAGCCCACGTCTGCCGGTTAACAAGCTGGATGGAATCGGCTAATGCTCAGGCACCAGCAACATGGAGTCGGTGAGAACACATTCCCATTACCATCGATAAGAAGGAAAAACTTACCAGACGAATAAACCAAGAAGTATAATGAAGAGCTTGCGCAGCCTCTGGAGAGCGAGATGATCCTTGCAGCTCTGACCTAAGTCTCGGGGCTACCAGCGACAAGCAAAAGCAATGTCTTAACACCTGTTCAATCTGCATGCGAGAAGGTGAAAAGGGACAAAGCTGTAATTGTCACGTGATTATAAATGCTCACTGGTGTCACAGGGGGGTCACACATGACTATGTTGGTATAAGATTCTCGACCTGTGAATGCACAAGAGTGGCGCTTCTGGCGGTCAGTAGGGATGAAATAGAACATTGTTTTATTGGGAAGTTTATTGTCCATATTATTCTATTTTTTATATCAGCTCTGAGGTTCCAGAAGAAGAACAAAGCATCCAATCTCTGCAGGCTTCACTGTCTTAAGGTCAGAGTTCAGGATTGACCTGCTGTGGAACCACTGCTGATCCAGTAGGACAATATTGACCATGTTTTCTTTGGAGAAACTGTTTACAATTAGATCTGCTGTAAATCCAACACAGGGGTTTAGAAACCAGAAGGCCAGTTTCGGAATCATCTTTCAGGAATCCGATTTGTTTCCCGGGATAGTTTTCCTCATGTGTCTCTGCTGCAGGAAAAAAGGCAAACTCTGAGAAAAACTCTTCCTTTAAAGACGGGGCTTGAGGAGATGTATGATGCTGTAGGAAGGACCCCAATCTAGAAACTTATAGGTTGGAGGATGATGAATATCCAACTATAGCTAGCCATAGTTTAAAACACAGTTCAGCTCAACTGTCTGAACAGTTTTATCGTGTCATATTTTATATGTTATGATCTTGAAGTCGTATTTAAGGTTTGTTTTTCTTGTCGGCATCACCTGTCAGATCCCCCCCTTCATCTCTTCATTCCTGCCACTGAATCATGAAGCTCCATTTACCTGAAAGCAGCCTCTTTTTTCTCCTGTCCCTCCCTCTTTTTAGTTCTCAATTTCCTCTCCTTTATCAATGAACACTGGTTTTAATCCAATATTTGAGAGAAATAATGGATTAAGAGAATGTATCATCACGGGGACCACGTGAAGGTATTCCTATGTAATTGTTCCCCACAACGTCATAAAATCATGACAAAAAACACACTTTCCTGTATGGCCATAGGTAATGATGACCATACATTGACTCCTACTGACTTTAATATATTTTAAGACATTTTAAACCCTCTCTTTTCAACCCATGCCCAGACCATGACCTGAACTGAACAGTTACCTCACGCTAACCTTCACCTAAATTTAATACACAGCTTACTGAACTGAACAGTCAGCAAAAAGGGAGTGAGGAACAGCTAAATATCCTCACTTTGATGTTGAAATCAGAAAACTTGTCCTCAGTCTGATGTCAAATCAAAGACACACATGTCACTTTCAGATCAAACTTCCTTACATTTAGATGCAGCTGATTGGTCCAGTGTCCAATCACTTTGTACTCCGCTGCAGACATGTTGTTGATCTGATACTGGAAGATGTCGTAGCGTCCAGGAGCATCACCGTTCTCGTTGAAAGTCACTGGAGTCCCTGCACTTCCTGTAAAAATACACACAGCTACTGTAATTTAATTCAGCTTAGTTTATTTGTAAACAATTTAGCGCTTTTCAGATGAAGCGACTGATTAATGAACTTCTTTTTCAAAGACAGTAACTAAAGACAGTAAATCTAAAGTCATCCAGGTTTATATGTCCTGCAGACCTACCCATAGTCTATAGAACCCGAAAGTGGCCCCAGGAAGAATCTGCACATTTATGGCAAAATATAGCTGAGTATCATCAACATAACAGTGGAAATTAATCCCATGCTGTCTAACAATTCTGCGGATTGGGAGCATATATATAGTAAAGAGAATTGGTCCTTGCACTGATCCCTGTGCCATAGGTAACCCTGAGGCTTGAGGAAGATTCATCAATAACATGAACAGAAAATTTTTCAGAAAAATCTGATTTAAACCAATCTAGAGCTGTTCCTTTATTTCCTACGGTCTTTCTAAAAGAATATTATGATCAACTGGATCAAGTGCGGCACTGAGATCTAACAGGCCAAGCACAGATAGGGTTAGGGTTAGGAGGAGATCAAAGGGAATACCTCCTTAAATAACCTGGTTGGAACTGGATCTAACATCCAAGTTGAAGGCTTAGATGAAGACAATAGTTTCACTAACTGTGAAAGTTCAACTGGATCAACGCAGTCTAAACCTGGTTCAGATTCTATGGCTACCTCAGATTCTGCCGTAATATCTGAAGACATGGATAATGGGAAGGATACCATAGGTTTTCTTTTTAACTACTATAAAATCAAGCCTGTTTTTCTGTGTCAGACAGCTGTCATGCCATAAGCCATGACATGTATTTTGTAGACTGGGTGCCAATATCCAGGCTGATTTTCCTTGCAATCCTAAGCTTCACACCCCCAAAGCAAAACACTCCCAGAGACACATTGTCATGTTCTTGCCACTGATGTCTGGTCTGATGACTGATTTTACAGACCTGCTTAGCTCCACCCAGTTCTGATTCAGCTAAGTCCAGTCATAAGTCTGGATTTAACCAGTCTTCAACCAATCATCAGTGGCAGATTAATTTGGAGCCTTTGGTGAGACTTATGGTAGCATTCTTGTATTCTGATTACCTGATCCTGACCTGTTCTGCCTCTCGTCCTCTGAGCCTGCCTCTTCCCGTCCGATCTGTTTACCTGACCTGTCTTCTGACTCCTGCCTGATCTCTGCCTACCTGTATACTGAGCAGAACCATTTCCCGATCACTGACTTTGCCTGCACTCGTCCAACCTGTTAGCTTCACTGTGTACCCTTAACTATGACCTGACTCCGTCTGGATTCTCCTTTGGCGCCTCACCAGGTCTATGACCTCCTGACTACGACAACTCACCATGTCACCAACATTGGCTTTGACTTCGCCCTCTGAATAATCCTGCCTTTGCCCATCTGCCCAGTTCTGATCTGCTACCTATCCTCCGACACAACAGTGTCTGAGACTCTTTCTGCAGCTATTGCTGTGCCGTGTTCGCAGCCCGTTGGCCGGAACATCCTATAACTCTGGTCTCAAACTGCACTGTAAGACCAGGCTAGTGATTCACTTGTTTGTGATCATCCACTTCCAGAAAGACTAACTGTTAGAAAAATGTATATGTTATCATTTTATTTTTAAGTTATAGAGATCTGGCCCGCCAGGAATGTTAAGTGTTGTTCTAAATGGGGAGAACAAATAATTCTCTCAGGGCCTGGTATTATCCAGCTATGCTGCCGTAGGTGACAGATAACTTCTGACCACTCCTGGTAACTTCTGACCACTCCTGGTAACTTCTGACCACTCCTGGTAACTTCTGACCACTCCTGGTAACTTCTGACCACTCATGTTATTCCTTTGAAGTCCGATAATAAAAGCAGCAGGAAAGAGAGGTTCTGGCAGAGTTGACCACAGACTCCTTAGTAACTTGTGTGTTGTGTTGGTCTCATTTCTAGGACAATATGGGGTTATGTTTTTAATCCTATCACTAACCTGCTGTCTCCACCATCCAACCCGGTTCTGTTTTAAAAGAATATTTTGAGAAATCTGTTTTTCCGCTTTGAACACTGGAGCCTTAATTTCTGACCCTGACAGAATAATCGCAGCCGCACATGGATCCATCGGCTGAAAAAAAATCAACATTCTGGCATGGATAACTCTCAGCCTGAGTCAGGCATGCGGTAGATTCTAGCTTACGCAGTCAGGCTATTCCCGCTCCTACAGTTCCGCCTATGTCTGCTACCGCTCCTACATCACCTGCTGAAAGACCGGTTTTGTCGGGAGCCGCATCTTTGTGTGGGGTTAAGACCCCTTAACCCCACACTGCTCCCAGGGTGCCGCACAATTGAAGCCCACTGCTCCCCAAGCGCGTGGGTTAAATGCAGAGAGGGAATTTTGCTGCTCTGTACATGTGACAGTGGAATGACAATAAAAAAAGCTGGAAACAAAATCACTCTGAATCCACTGATGCTGCTTTTTGTTGTTTCAGAGGGGGTGAGTTTAAATGTTGGGGTCATAATGTTATTGCTTTTTAATCCTTGTTGGTTTGATTCTTATGAGATGGAAAGATGCTGCCTGACCCACAGAAACACTCTCCATTAAGGATGTGTAATCAAACCTGGACAGAATCTCAGGAGCAGGTTGGATTAAAGTGGCTGGTCTTTCTTTTTTTTTTTTTTTTTTGCTTTTTGTTCATTTGTTTCCCATTTGGCAAGTTTGGGATGTTTGTATGTGTGATGCCCACTAAGGTGTTAACACATTTGTGATAGTTTNTTTGCTTTTTGTTCATTTGTTTCCCATTTGGCAAGTTTGGGATGTTTGTATGTGTGATGCCCACTAAGGTGTTAACACATTTGTGATAGTTTTTTTCTGTAACATATGTATATAATGAAAACCCGCTTCATTAAAGATATAAAACATTAAATGCTGCCCTCATGATGCTCATCTATGTTCAAACAGGATTTCACACCAAAGGACTCACGGAAACCATCCTCTGCTTACTCTCCTAAAAATAACTCCATGGACGAGGAGCACTCGGCTGAGTTGGCATCTAACCCAGCGGCTGCTGCCGCCACAAAGTGCCACATTCACTCTAGATTGGCTGCATTATAGAAACAGACTGATGAGATATCCCGCTGTCCATGCTCACAGAGCTGAAGCATAAATAAAGGCGGGAGAAGCTCCACTTTGAATGAAGTCACTCTGTTTAATGCATGTGGAGTTTAATGCTGTTTAAACTTCCACACAGGAAAACCCAAACACAGCCCAACATGGATGTGTGCTGGTTTTAATGGGCAGAGCTCAGTCAGGCACACAGATTCCATTAGTGACATGCTGCTGATCCAGAGCCGATGGACGCACCGAGGAGCAGAGGCGGCTCCAGAGATTTCTCTCTGCAGGGGGACAAAACATCCAACTGAGGGTGCACTGAAGCATCCTTTCCTCCTGCACTGTTTTAATGCAAACAGATCCAAACCAGGTCAGGGGTTTGTTCAGTACCCAGACATCTGCTAAGGTCTACAATAAGGTGGATAATGAACAGGATGCGTTCTGCTTTGATATTACAAATATATGAAGTCTAATCCATTCCACGTATTTCCAGATACTGGAAAACATAATGTAGTACATTCAGTGTGAATTCACCAGCAACATTTAATGAATAAACATGGAATTTGCTGTAAGTAATTAGTTAAATTACATTAACAAAATGACATCAAGACAAATCATATATGAAATACAGCAAAAATAATATTGCCAAAAAAAAGCAACTTCCAAAAAAGGTCCAAATTAAAGAAGCAGAGATCCATAAGCAGAAGCCCATATTTGACCATAATAATTATGGAAAGCTCACTAAAATGTTTGCACAGGATGATTATTTGCCCCACCTGATATTTTTATGTTTTTATGTTTAAAAGTTGCGAACTTGATAAAAATAGAAATACTTTGAATTTATGTGAATGCAAATCACATATAAAACAATGGTAGAAAATAATTGTACATTATTACATTTTAAGTAATTGTGACCTTTAGATAACAGTAGTGACTGTGGCTGGACAGAAACACCACAAGATATTTTAACAGTTTAATTATTGAAAATATTAGAAAATAAGTTAGATTTTCTTAAAAATTCATAGTGAGTGCATTCTAGAAAAGGTTCTACCTACATAATATGTTTTTACGCATTTAAATGTTTAACCTAAAAGGTCTTTTTTGTTATTTGGGATCACAGACCATGGTGATAATCGAGGACATGGAGGACCAATGTCCATCTGTAATCTTTGTTCACTAGAAGGGGACGTTTTTCCCCACAGTGCTGCCCTTCTTTCCAAGCTTCTGCAACCTTCCATCAACTCACTCTAGAAGACACTCCTCAGGATAGTACCGTGGCCCCCCATGGTGCCTTGAGGACAAAAGCAACTCTTACTTCTTTCCACACCCCACCAGTGAGACAGCTGGTCAGAACGCTCTCCATGGTGCTTCTGTAGAAGGTGGGGAGGATGGGTGGGGGCAGGTGGGCTCTCCTCATCCTCTGCAAGAAGTACATGCACTTCTATGCCCTTTTGACCAGTGTTTCCTGTCCAGGTGAGGGTGTCGGTGTGTGCACCCCCAGGAATTTGGTGCTGTTGACCACCTCTACAGCTGAGCTGTTGATGACCAGTGGAGCGTGGTTACTGAAGTCCACCATGATCTCCTTGGTCTTCTCCACATTCAGGATCAGGCTGTTATCTTTGCACCAGTCCACCAGCTGCTACACGTCCTCTCGGTAGTCATCCAGACGTTCCAGGCTCAGGTGAAGAGCAGAGGAGATGGCATCCTCAATGGAGCGGTTCATGTGTCATCAGGTTGAACAGCAGGGGGCTCAGGACGCAGCCCTGAGGGGTGCCTGTGCTTAGACTGATCACATCAGAGGTGTTCTGTCCGACCCGGACTGACTGAAGTCTGTTGGTGAGGATGTCTAGTAGCCAATAGCAGAGGGTTGTATTGAATCCCAGCTGTTCCAGTTTGCCCATCAGATGCTCTGGGATGATGGTGTTGAAAGCTGAACTGAAGTCCAGGAACAGCATCCGCACGTGGGTGTTCTTCTCCTCCAGGTGGGCCAGGCTCAGGTGGAGAGCAGAGGAGATGGCGTCTTCAGTAGAGCGGTTCTGTCGGTAGGCGAACTGGAACGGGTCGAATGTTGGCGG